TGTCTCCAGCGTCACAGCTTCATTTAAAGGGGTTACCTGTGTCTCTAAGTCAAAATGTAGAAATGAGGCCAAATGGTAACTGTAAGTAAAAATTAATTGTAGGATTGCTCCCCTGGTGGCTATTCCAGGGCAGCTGATGAATTTATCTAAGACTCTTGGGTCTGAGACAGCTTTTCAAAAATTTATAAAGCAATTACTGTGTTTAATTGTGTGAAATAACCATCTTGACTGCAAAACTGCTTCTGTCTCTCAGGTGTTTCAATGAAGAGGCCTGTGTCTCCATTCCCTCTGTGGAGGGGTATGTCATGGTCTTGCAGCCAGAGGAGCCAAAAATCAGCCTGAGTGGCATCAACCACTTTGCCCGCTCTGCCTCAGAGTTCGAGAGCTCCGAGGGCGTTTCCCTCTTCCCGGAGCTTCGCATCATCAGCACCATCACCCGGGAGGTGGAGCCCGAGGGAGATGGGGATGAAGATCCTACAGGTAACAGCCACTGTTGCCCACCCTCAGCTGACTCAGTGCTCCTGGAGAAGCATCTTCCTCTTGCAGAGAGGTGTGGGCTTTTAATACAGAATCCAGTAAGGGAAAAAAAGATGTAGATCCTCTCGTCTGGGCTAACAAAAACTTACCTGGAAATGATAAGAAGTCCAGGCCATTATCCTCATGTAAATATCCCTTGTTTGTGTTTTGTATTTTATTTTTTAAATCATTATTTTGTGAATACTTGTTCTCCTCAGGCCTAGATTTTAATATTTGTTCTGGTGTTTCTGCTTAAATCTTTGTCTTTTTCTCTGATTTTTAGTCCAAGAGTCTTTGGTATCTGAAGAGATCATGCACAACCTGGATATGTGTGAGGTGACGGTGCTGGGAGAGGAGCTAAATCAGGAACAAGAGAGCCTGGAGATTGACATGACACGATTGCAGCAGAAAGGCATTGAGATGAGCAGTTCCAACCTGGGCATGATAATCACAGGTAGGGGTTCCTGCTGCTGCTCTTGGGAGGGTCTGAAGGGACTGACAAAGGGAGTAGTTCTAGAGAGGTGGTTTGTAACACCTTACTCCAAATACTTCATTTTTTTTAGAATTTCAAGCTTGTACTACCTTTAGAATTCCAAGCACAGCAATTCTGTGGAAAGCTGTTATTCCAGAAAATACAACATTCTAGAACCTTCCTTCTGTTCTTTACTCTGTTCCAAATAGCAGGTCACCTCTGGACTGTGGAACTGCAGTTAGACTTTGCCCCAGAAAAGGCTTGTTCCTTCCAGGGGTGCTCCGGTGCCTAGAAGCATGCATCATTCTTTTCTCTTATGTTGAAGTATTCCATAGAAAAGCTCCCAGAATCCTTTCAAAGACTCACTGGGTTTAGGATTTTATCACAAAACCAACCCACAGGATTTCAGTGGAGCCACATGTGTGTGTCAGTGGTGTTACCATTTCTGCATCCTTGAACACCTGCTGGCCAAGAAACCTTAGGTGAAGCAAGGGAGCAGTATTTGTCTGGGTGTGAAGGGTGCCAGTCCTTTGCAGAGCAGCTGCTGTAGCTGTGGCTGTCCCCACAGGGGTGGACACCATGGCTAACTATGAGGAGGTTCTGCACCTGATCCGCTACAGGAACTGGCACACGGCGTCTCTGTTCGACAGGAAGTTCAAACTGCTCTGCTCCGAGCTCAACGGCCGCTACGTCAGCAACGAGTTCCAGGTGGAGGTGGGTGCCTGCCTGTAAACATTAGGAAACATGAGCATTTCAGGCAGTATTTTATATATAAATGTGGTTTTAGTCCTGTATTTCAGCTTGAAATAAAATTGTTGTTTGTAGAAGAAGTAGTGTGGCTGATGGAGGTGTGAAGGTGAAAAGGTTGCATTGAAAACACAGATTATTAATTTAGCAAATGGAGTGAGAGTGGTGCTACCACAGAGCTGAGTGGCCTTTGTGTGTCACTTCTGGGATGCCACAGATGGGCGTGCTGGGCCCTTTGATGTTTTGCTTATGATGTGTAAATTTCTGATACTAAAGGATTACAAGCACAGAGAGGCTAAAATTGCATTTCCTCTGCAGCAGGGTACAGGTTACTTATTATTTAGTATGCTTACATCAAATAGATGGAAGTACAGCAGAAAATGGCATTAAAAGCACTAAAATTTTTATTTTTTTTTCTCGTTATTTTTATCTCTTCAGAATTAAACTATTGGGTTTCTGGAGTTTAACACTTTCTGTTTGTGTCTAGGTGAATGTTATCCACACAGCCAGCCCAGTGGAACATGCCAATCACATTGCTGCACAGCCACAGTTCATTCACCCAGTGCATCATTCCTTTGTTGATCTCTCTGGTCACAACTTGGCAAACCCTCATCCCTTTTCAGGTCAGGATTCTCAGCCATTGAGTTGAGCTGTTTTTTTGTCTTTCAGATTGATGTGATTATATTTAAGGAAATGAAGCCTAGTTCTTGCTTTCCTACTGACTTTTTAAATGGCTGTAGACAAACTGCCTTTGTGTAATATATATGAAATATAATAATGTACTGAAATACTGGTGTAAAGCCATTTCCTCTGGCAGATGATGGGAAGGGGAGTAGTTGTTAGCACGGTGTAAGCTGTGTGTGTGTTGTGTTTTCTGGCTGCAGTGGTCCCCAGCACAGCCACCGTGGTGATCGTGGTGTGTGTCAGCTTCCTGGTGTTCATGATCATCCTGGGCGTGTTCCGGATCCGCGCCGCGCACCAGAGAACCATGCGGGACCAGGACTCGGGCAAGGAGAACGAGATGGACTGGGACGACTCTGCTCTGACCATCACTGTGAACCCCATGGAGGTAACCCCTGCTGGCCTCCTCAGCTGGGGTTGGCCACGGGCACGGGAGAGCAGAGCCAGCCCTGGGCACGGGGCAGAGGCGTTACCTGGGAATTTAGAACGAATGTGCCAAATGCCAAGGGCAGTTGGCTCTAGCTGCTGTACAGCAACTACTAGCTGCTGTAGTTGGTTGGGATCTTGCAGGGGTTAGAGTTTCATGATGGAGAATGGCATTTTACAGGCCAGTGTCCAGCACTAGTGTTCATCATGTGCACAGTGCCTGAAACACAGCTTGCTTTTGTCTAAACTAGCAGGAATTTATTGTCAAAACATCTGTGTTTATGATGTTTCCTTCTCCTGTGGCTGACATCTGAATTTTTAGAAAATTGGCTCTATGTCCTATTGTAAGATTCTTTTCCAGTAGAATTTGCAGTACTGGATAACCCTTCAGAGCCACTTTGTGTAGAGTGCCAGGATTGACAGCAGTGTCACAGAACTTTTTTACAGCATGCTACTTCCTTTGTCTTTCTGGTTTCTGTCTAATTTCTGCTGAACTTCTAAATCCAGCAAGGAATCTGCAATAGCTCTTCCTCAATATAATACCTTGAATAAAGAACAAAAAGAATTTTAGCCAGTATGGTAATGACAGCTAATTTTTGTCTGAACAGACTTACGAGGATCAACACAGCAGTGAAGAGGAGGAGGAGGAGGAGGAAGAAGAAAGTGAAGATGGAGAAGAAGATGACATCACTAGTGCAGAGTCTGAAAGCAGTGAGGAGGAAGAGGGAGAGCAGGAGGAGGACCAACAGAATGTTAACAGACAGCAGCAGCTGGAATGGGATGACTCTACCCTCAGTTATTGATTCTAGCTGCTCCCTTTGTCTTTCTGTTCCCGCTCTAGAAGACTCCACTGTAACACACTCCATTGGTACCAAGGATTCATGGTGTTTAAAACAAAAAATTCATTCTGGCCAGTAGATTGACCCCCCACACAAGCCGTGTTTGTGTTCTGTCAGCTAGTTCCTGATGTTTAGGGTTGTAGTTAGCACCTCTTCCTTCAGCCATGCCTCAGTGACTGGATTTTTTTTACACTCTGTGAGGAACCACCTTGCACTTTTTTCTTCATGTCATCTCAGCTAAGTGACTCTACAGCTCTGTAGCCATTGCACATGAATTTCTGAACTGTCTTTTTTTGCTCAGTGAAACAAACTTGGCTTTGTTCCTTTTTCTCTTTCTAAAAGATGCAAAGATTGCTTGTTGACAAAGGGTAAAGCTGCTCATTTCAGCCTGTTGATTTCTTTTAATTTTTTTTCCCCAAATTAGTGCATGTGTAAAGTGGCAGAATGAGGTTAATATGTAGAAGATTAACAAGACTTTTTAATATTTTGTAAATATATTGGAATTATGTAATTACGTCATTTGTGGTAGTGAAAACAGGGATTGGGGTTTAAAACATGCTAAAGTGAAAAATCATGCAGCATGAACTATTCCAAGTCTCATCCTACTGCAGCAGGAGCACGGGCACAGTTCTTAGTGTAGATGTTCAGTAACTCTGTCTTGGCCTTGACTGCGATGTGTGCTCATGCCCCGCTCTCCTTGAACTCCTTCCTTTTCTTTCATCTCCTTTTTTTTTGCAGAGGGAACAGACAAGCTTGTGAGAAGTTGTAAAGGCTTTAGGAGCCTCTGCAGAGGTTCAGCTCCCCTGTGCACTACAGTTTGGTTTTAGTTTTATTTTTATCTCCAATTAAGGCTTGCCATAAAGGCTTTTAAGTTATTGGGGAAATAACACTACATGTACGGTGGGCAGAGCGTGCCTGGAGTGCAGTGTGGGCTGTGCACACTGGGTGTAGGGGAGGCTGAGACCTGGCTGCCTGAGCACCCAGGCTACCAGTCTACATGGATAGGGATTTTGGGGTTTTTTGTTGTTCATTTTTTCTAATTTGGAAGTGGGAGGGTTTGGGGTGTAGCTGATACCACTGAACACTCCTGCTCCTCCCCTGCCGCCCCTTGTACAGTAATTCAGATTGTCGGTGTTTTAAGCCTTTGTTTACACTTAGTAATTGTGTTTTCCTGCTGGTGAAAAACCGTAGCATAAACTATCCGACCAGAAAACCTTGGGAATCATATTAATTCATGTGATTTGGGTTGTTTCTGATCCCAGTTCCAATTTGGGATTGCAGAGGGCAGTAGCTGGAAGGTACAAACATGGGGGGGGCTGTTTTTCCTGTCAGGCAGGGTTGTTTAACTTTATTTGGTCTGATGCAGAGTCGTGAATAATGAATTTCTGCTCGATCTCTGTGGAGTGGATTAAAGCGTAACTTGTTCTGCCTGTAGCAGGAGCCTGGGACTGCATTCCCTCCTGAGCACGGTAAGCCAAGCGCCAGCGTTTGCTCCTGGTGTGGGTGCAGAGCCCAGCGTGCCACAGCCAGGCCAGGCCAGGGCCAGGAGCACTGGGAAGGGCCAGAGAGGGGCACAGAGGCTGCTGAGCACCAGAGGGATAAAGGGTCAGGGCTGAGCACGTGTTTGTACAGCTGGATTTCCAGGGCAGCCCTGCTCTCACCTACGGGATTGATGGGGCTTTGCCCTGGGGGAACCCACTGAGGAGTGCCTTTACACAGAGATGGACCTGGCAGCAGGGAAAGAACCCACACCAGAGCTTACTGTTTTTTGGGGTTGTTTTTTGGTTTTGTTTTTTTTTAATGTAAAATTTTAGATTTCTAAAATGGGAAAATGGTTTTGACTACTTATGTGGTAATTAACTGCTAGTTTTAAGTAAACTGGGAAACTTTTAACTTATGTCTGACAGTTGTCCTGTGTTAATGTGTAGAAGACTTATCCTTCCATATACTGTTGCTGTAGCTGCTGTATTTTAGACCAAAACTGATCATGACTTAATGGTAATACTGAGGGGTTGTAATGTCCTGATGCAGTTTGTAGCCACTGTGGGTATAACTTTTCAGATGTGTATATTGGTAACAGGTCAGTTTGGAAAGTCTATAAGCTACAATAAATTTCTGGTTCTAAAGGTTGTTTGCTTTTTTTATTTTCCTGAGTGAAACAAAATAGAATCCACTTATATAAACTGTGTTAATTTGCCTCTGCTGGGGGAGTAGGAGAGTTTAGTGGTCATTGCTCTCAAGCACAGAAGGACTTGGCAGCATTTGTGTACAATTTGTCAATATATTTTATTTCTTATTTACAAAACATGTACCTAATGCAACTGAAAAGCTAAACATGTAAACATTCTCTTCTTGCAGAACCACGGTTTGGCTTAAAAAAATACTTCTTTTTCAAAGGCAACAGAATAAGCACAATCAGTTTGTACAGAGTTAAAAAAAAATAATGACAGAAACATCTCTAAATAAATAGAAATAGGTCTATCATTCTGAGCATATTTATAAAAATGACAAGCTACTTGTAATGAAATGGAACATTTTTGAAAATTATTTAAGTTTCAATCTTTAGTACAGTTCAGCTTGCTGAACCATCAGGTGAGCTGCTGCTTTGTGAATTTGGAGTCAAAGGCTCTTTGCTGACCCAACAGAGCTGTCAGATTTATCCAAGATACTCTCCCAGGGTGTACAAGGAAGAAGGTCCACACACTGACTCACTGAATTTTTACTGCTCCTAGGTAAGTCAAGTTTTTCAGACTAAGCAAGCTCTGTAAATCTGTGCTCAGTTCTTGCAGCTGATACTGATACACCTTTTATTGCACTTGTCAAAGTGAGGGGCAGGACAGGAGCCACTATCTGAAATGTGCGAGGGCCGGGCCTTTGTTGGGAGAGCTGGGAGGGACTGAGGAGAGCAGGGGGCCAGTGCTGCAGCACCCTGACCACCAGGCTCTGGCACTGCAAGAGAATTGCTTCTGCAGCTCTGGAACTGTAGTGTCTTCCCTTCCACAAGAACCTGATCGGGGCTGTGGTTTCAGTGCATCTCACCTTGCGCAGGGCCCAAGAGGTTTTTTTTAGGTTTTTTTGCATACTTTTTGCTCTGTAAATTAGTTTAATAAGCAAGGAAATAGCAATATTTACTCTCTAAAATGGAGCAGAGGCACAGGACTCACTGATCAGCCTGCACAGAGCTCTAAATCCTGCAGTATTTCCCTCTAGTGCCAAAGCAGCTGTTAGAGCCTGAGTGCTTCAGTCACAGTATCATCTGAAGGTGGAGGAAAAGGGGCTCTCCCAGGGTTAGATTAAATTGAAATGAGGTGTCTTCTGTGCCAGAACTGCTGCTTCTACCAACAGGTGCTTGAGAGGCAACAGGGTTTGTATGAATAGATCCAAACAGAACAGACCTCACAGCTTAACATCTTTTATGAAAAGCAGTTAGTACCTTAATGTGAAAATGCAATCTTAGCGTTTTCAGGTTTGAAACCAAAATAAATGCAGAAATGCAGGAGTTACTCGAGGCTCAACTAAAGCCTAACTTTGGAAAGCAAAGTACCTGATCCAGTGTCCACCTCAAAGCTGCTTTTGTGCCATCATTTCTAGACAGCAGTGGCTGAGTTCCAGCTCAGTTTCAGAACACTTTGGCCTCTGGAGCAGACAGAAAGCAATACAACAGCGAGGATGTTTTTATCCTGTCTCAAGGCAGAGTAAAACCACTTGTCCAAGTCAGCTTTGGTGTGCTTTGAGCTGACCCACCTTTGTGGACACTGAGACAGGGCAGGAGTGACCACATGCTGAAGTTAATGCCTCTAAGCTGCAATAGTGGTGTTCTAGAAGATAGGCTACAGGCATTGGGGGAATCTCTGCTCAGCTAAATTTTCAAGAAAATAGAAATACAGACATTAGCACACAGAAGGGCTGTTACAACTGCCTCAGCTCTTCCATTGAAACATGTATTATTTGAAGTTCAAGGAGTTCTCAAGAGTACAGTACCTCTACCTACCTTTACTGTATGCAGTAGTTTTATTGCCTCACGTCTCTCCCTTGTCCCCCAAAGATGTACAGCAGCCACAGTGATGGGCTGAGGACAGGCCAACAGTTTTTCAGTCATGCAGCAACGTCCGATCTCTGGGAATCAGAGGTGGGGGATCTTCCACACTGCACCACTGTTCAGTCTTTAGGCACCTGTCTGTCAGTGCTGGGGCTGTCCATGCTCCTGGGCAGGGCAGCTCCTGCCTCTACTGCCTGTTGTCTTTGGATACGTTGTGTGCCAGCCAGTTCACTTTGGTTTTCCAGCTCTCCCGCAGGGCTTCATTGAACTTCACTCTGAAGTGCTTCAGTGCCTCCTCATCGGTTTTCCCAAGGGCCAGGGAGTCCTGTAGGCAGGAGGCACAAATCAGTGCTCAAGTGAACAAGTCACTGCTCAGCCAGTAAGACATTTATTTATAAGAAATTACTCCATTGAAAGGAGGAATGGAGTAGCCATCAATTATTTTTCATTGTTTCTGCAATTGCAGGAGGCTTTTTCTCTGATAAACACTTCCACTCTCTGCTTCTGTTTGTGCAGGGAAAGAGCAGATTCTGTTTTGCTCTTGCACAAAGTGTTCTGCAGCTGCCAGGGATGGGTGGTTGTGACTCAGGAGGCGAACTGGGAAATGAGAGCCAAGGGCTTTGCCTCCTTCCCTGCCCGTGGGCACCTGCTGCCTTCGTGGTGAAGAACCTGGAGAGATTTCTGAGCACCAGGACCTGGCGTTTCTGATGTCCTGCACAGGGGCACTGGACATCCACTCACTGTTCTGGAGCTCACCTGCTTCTAAGAATCTGGCCTTGCACACTGAACTCCTCCTGCTCACCCAGCCACAAAATCAGGTGCTCAGCTTTGGCTCTGCCTCTTACCTTTAGGTACTGGATGTCTTTGGAGCAGCTGAGCTCAGGCAGCCCAGCAGCCTTCATCAGTGCAAAGAGGTGCAGGAAGAGGAGCCCGTGGCGCCGCAGGATCATGTAGGCCCTTTCACAGTAACCCCTGAACCTGAGCAGGAGCAAAGACCAGCAAAGGAGTGAGGACTGCAAACTCCACCATTATGTAAAGCATTTAAGCAGTCTGAACCCTACTCTCACCAGTTAAAAATTTATTTACTTTCATCTGCACAGGCAGCTATAAGCTGCATATTGGTGGAAATAAATACTAAAAATTCAGAGCTTCAAAAGCTGAAATCAAGTTTAACTCCCAGCACTTACCTTTCAAACTTCTCGTTGTTGTTAGTTTTTCCTTGCTGGATGACATGCACAAAGTCATAGGTTAAGATGAAAGGGACTCGTTCTCTATTAATACCAAATTTAGTCTTGAAGTTCCCCAAAAAGTGACCAAAATCAATATGGAACAGCTGCAAAAAAAAAAAAAAAAATCAGAATATTATCTCTTTTAGCTGATTAGTGTGTATTCTCTTCAGTTACTGCAGTGAGCAGATCCTGGCCATGGGGTTTTGGGAGAGAGAAGGGTGGCCTGCCCAGGGCCAGCACCCCGTGCCCAGGAGCTCTCGGGTTACCTGCCCCGTCTCCCGGACCATGATGTTGTCGCTGTGCCGGTCCCCAATGCCCAGCACGTAGGTGGCCACGCAGTACCCAGCACAGGACAGGGTGAACTCCTCGATGGCTTGGTCCAAGGCGTCTCTAGAGAGGGCAAGAAAGAGTGAAAGGTAATTTTACTTTGGACTCCAGTACTGCCCCATGGGGAGAGCTGTTTGCAGCTGCAGGAGAAGGGGGGGAAGCTCATTTGGACTGCTGGAGGCAGGACTCCCACTCCTGCTTTACAAAAATGAGCTGCAAGAACTGTCTGTGGCTGAAGGGCTCTGAAGGAGGTGGTGTCCACAATCTCAGTGGGAAGGAGATCCACACGAGGCCTGCAGGTGTGCCAGGCAGGGGAGCAGCCACAGCCCGTGCGGGGCAGCTGAAGGAAAGGAGCAGGGAGGGAAAGGTGAGCCCCTCACCCCGGGTTCTTGGACTTGAGCCAGTTCAGCAGAGCGTCCTTGTTGAAGGCAGCCGTGGCCACCATGTTGCTCTTGTTGAGCTGGATGTTGGCGATGGTGTCCGAGTGCATGACCACCTCAATCAGCCCCGTCTTGTCTCCTGTGGAGAGGCAGCCATAAGGGGTCATCCTGCAGAGATGAAAGAAACCCTTCCACTGAAATCCTGCCCACAGACGCGTGGTGGTGACTTTAAACCTTTCCCTTGCCTGCCCTGTCTCCTCCCGTTCTGCTCTGCACTTCTGCTCCCCAGCCCCACAGAAGCTGCCCCACAGAAGAGCAGACAGACCTGCTGGGGGCTAAAGGAGCTTGCAGAGAAAGCAGCCTGGCCACCCCCGAGTGTCAGTGCAGCTCTGTGCACGCTGCTCACCTCAGGTCCAGGCCCTCCTGCTTCCACAGGATGTCCATCAGCTGGATCATCTGCAGGGTCAGCATGTCCTGGCGCAGATCTGGGCAGCATTACAGAGGAAAAGCATCCAATTACCACTGCACTCAAATCTTAATTAAAGGGGGAAGCAGGTGAAATACAGAGGGGAGTTAATATATAGTTTCAGATTACTACCAAAAATCTCACCCAAAAACATTAAAGTTCCTAATTTACCATTTCTTAATGGTCCAGATTTAGGCGCACTCACCCCAGTAAATACTTGAGACTAAAAGATATCTTTTCACAAGCATAATAAAGACTTACCATCTCCATTTTTAAAAATTATACCCACGCCTCCTCCACCTGTCTCTTCATTATTAAACACAATCCACAAAGGTTTCATTTTGGAGTCCATAAAGGTGCACTGATCCACACTAGAGGAAATAAAAATATTACCCTCAGTTTCCATCTATTAAAATATCAGCCAGCCAAGCAGTCCTACAGCAACTCCACCCACTGATGGACGTGGGACTTCCATGAGGAAAGAACCTTGGGACAACCCAAAGCTGGCTCCAGTGTGAAACAAAGCACAAAATTCACACAAATTTCGGGGTGCACATCTCTCCCTTACCAAACTTCAGCGAGGATAATGTTGGGGTTCAGGGGGTTCTGGAGGTGGGAAAGGGCTTCCCTGTAGGTTTCCTGCTTCATGCACATATGCATCATCTCCTTGGTTTGAGGCTTGGTGGCCTTCTGAGAACTCACTTTCACAAAGTCATTCAGAGCTTTCATCTTGTTCAGTGCTTCTCCCTGAGAAAAGGGAGGGATAAAACAGGGTTAACAAATAGGAAATTCCTGGAGAAAGTTTAAAAAACATTTAAATCTCCTGTGAAATATAAACCTTGGTTCCATCTCTTAATTCCTCTTCAATTTGTACCAATTTCACACACTGCAGCAAAACAAATTTAGTAGCATCTGCTTGAGGAAGATCCAAAATTAACTGTGGATACTCTGGTGGGCACAAATGCATTGCAAGGTAATGACTGCAGCAGGAATAAAGCACATTACCACACACCAAAGGAAGAAGTGAGGTGCTCTGGCTGGCCAAGTGCAGAGGATGAGACCCAGAGCCCAGCATTAAACTTAAATGCTTTTGGGGAGTTGTGGTTGTGATCAGCTCCCAGTGAACAGCAGCTCACCCAGCTGATCTAAAAACAGCATTGTCTGCACATTTCAGACCATTCTAGAACAGACTGTGGGTGAGCAAGGCACGAGCAGAGCCACACGTGCTGGGGACCTCCAGAACACACCAAAACCAGCAGCCCTCACCAGGCTTTTCTTGTAGTACTGGTAACATGGATTTGGGAAAGCCACGAGCTGAGAACTAGCCCCAAGCCAGAGGGAAGGCCCCAAGCAATCTGTACCTGCTTCATCAGCACCTTCATGTGGTGGGTGCTGCCCCGGCAGTACGCTTCCAGGATCAGCCCAAACCTCAGGGCCACGGCGGGCACGTGCATCTCCGACCTGGGCAGGGAGCAGGAGGGAGTTAGGGCAGAGCTGCCTCCCTGCAGAGCCATTCACTGTCTCCTTCACATGGCACCACATGGCACCAGCCACGGGGGGAACCAGCACAGCCCCTGGCTGCTGGGTGGCTCCTGTGCCATGGGGAAGGAAAAAATGCCCCCACCCCAGAAGGTGATGGAGGAAAACCACTGCTTGAGGTGATGAAACATCCCTCTGGGTGATTCAATCCCTAACCCCTCCTTCGAGAACATCACCTGGGGAGCAAGAACATGGAAGCAGGTGGCCATGGAAGCACCAAGCAAATTCCAGCTCAGATGCATGTGTGTATATACTCACAAATATATATAAATTCTGAGAACAGAACCTAACCCAAACATCACCACTACAATGACAAAACACAAAAAGAAATTAATAAAAAACCAATGTTGTGTCCTCCTGGAATAATTCTTACTGAATCACTGCCAGTAAAAAGTAGCAGTTCCCACATCACAAAGCAATGAAGGGCTCAGTAAATGCTGGTTTCACTTGATTACTGAGAAAAAGCCTAAAACATTTCTCTTCACCTCAGATGCCAGAAGAGGAAGTGGCCGATCTTGCGGTTGGATAATGCCCTTTCCAGCAGGAACTTGGTTAATTCACAGTCTAGGTAGGATTCATACTTGAGCACCTGGACAAGCTGCAGCAGGTATTGGAACACATCATCATCCCTGTGGACACAAAGGAACATGAAACACAATCTTGTCTCCACTGTTCTTGTAAAAGCTGCAAAGACAAGGCTGTCACTCCTGTTCTCAGCCCCTCAGCAGCCCTGAGCAGAAATAGAAAGGGCTCTGCCTCTCCCCTGGGGACAGCACTTACGTCAGCTTCTTCAGGGAGTTGACAGCAAAGGAACCAACGTAACGGTCAGGAAAGCTGAAATCCAGCAGCTCCAAGGCATTCAGGACAGGCAGCTCTGGCCAGGTCTGAAGCAGGGAAATCATCTGTAATGACCAAAAAGAAAAGAGCTAAAAAAAGGAACAAGGTTTTTATGACAATCTGAAATTCTAGTGATGAAAGAGCAGCTCCTTATGGGGGGTCACTATTTATAGATGCCTCACAGCAAGCCTGCAGATACCAGGTCAAAAACTGATCCTTTGAGGTGGCTTGTGCTGATCTCTTATTATCATTTAAGAATATTCAATCCAGATATGTTTTTTTCCCAAGAATTATACAGATTTTTCTTTTTGCCTCCAGTTTCTTGAAGGGATAAACAAGACCTTGCTGGCCAGTAACGAATCTGGGACAGCCCCCAGAACCAAACAGAGCCCAGAAGAGCCGGACCTCATCTGGGAACTTCCCTGGGAAAACTGAAACATCCCAGCTCAGCCAGGCTCCCAAACACAGCACAGGAACGTAGACACTGCAAGATGGACCCAAAAAGGAGCCCTGGCTGCCAGCCCCAACATCCTCACCTGGGCAACATCCTCGTGCTTGTTCCACTTGGTGATGACGAGCAGCTTGGCCAGGGCCTGCGGGTACTGGTCGCGGATGTCGTACCGCATCTTCCACACCAGGTCCTTCTCGTGCTCGTACAGCTCCGTGTGGCTCCTCCGCTCCAGGATCTCCCTCAGCTGCAGCTTCTGCACAGCAAAGAGCACACTCTGGACTTGCTCAGCTCACACAGGCCCTGCAGGACTGGGGCACGACCCAGCGGGGTGAAAAGTGCTGGGAGGGGGCAAGGTGGAAACAACTGTCCACAAAACCAGGCTGGCAGGCAGCTGAAAACTGATGCCAGAAGCCTCACCTCCTCAGAATCCTCTGGTGCAGCTCGGGGCTGCTCTCCATTCCTTCCCAACTCCAGCAGCTGGGACACAAACAAAGAGGGTGAGAAAGGCTCCTCAGTTCCTCTGTAACTGCAGTCACCACCACCTCAGGCATTTCTGCTGGGGTGGAGGTTGGTACTTGCCATCTCTGCCATCTCCCCTTCCTCCCTGGCGCAGCCTCTGAGCCAGACCCTGCCTCTTGGGGAGCACAGAGCACATCTCCTTCCTCCCCTCTAACAGGCACATCTCTTCCTCCGCTTGCCTGGCCAGTTGCAGTGACAGATGGAAAATCTCCACCTCAACCACAGCACGTTATCACCCTGCTGCCTACTTTCACTCATTTCCCCTTTACTCCTCTTCCTTCCTACAGAGCCTAATGCAGTCTGAAGGCAGCTCAGTTAAACCCATTTTTATACAAATGCTCATCTATGAGAGCAGCTTTACCTCAGTAATTCATAGTTTGGAAGAGTATTCACTCAAAGGTCCGTTAGGTAAGAGGAGTAAGTGAAATTTTCAGTTAACATTATCTATTCATCAAGTCTGCTTGCACCCAGTCCCTGCCAAAGGCTGCTCCAGAGGTTCCCCACTGGAAGGGACAGCCCTGTGAAAGTGTCCCTGTGCCCACCTGCTCGAAGGATGGGTAGTACACAGGATGTGCTGCCACGCTGGGGAAGCAGATGACCAAGGCTGCTGCACTCTCCGTGTTGGGGTTGCACTGCACTGTGCCCATGGGGTTCAGAAGTTCCCCTTTCTCATCTGAAAAACAAAGTACATAAAACCCATGAGCACAAACCTTGTGGAGCTTTGGTGCAGAAAGCAGAGCACAGACTGTCCCTGGGCACTGCCTTGGGCACTGCCTGGCCACGAGCACTTCACCCTCCCGAGCCTTTCCCAGCGAGGGGCACAACGGGACATCCTCAGGTGAGCAGCCACAGCTCAGGTGCAAGGCTGAGCTCAACAAAACCTTGCCTTGGCAGGGCTCAGCTGCCATCACAGTGGCCACTGCACCTCCTGGGGGATCCTGAGGGTGCCAAAGGACAGCAGGTCCTCTCTGCCTTACCTGGGAAGGAGGACCACATGTGCAGGCAGCACTCCCCTGTTTTCAGCTGGTCCTTGTAGTCGAAGAGCATCACGTTGACCCAGGCGATGGGACAGTCCTGTGGGGAGACAGCACTGACACTGAGATCCCCCTGCAGAGGCACAGCCTGCCTGCTCACCTGCTGAATTCTCCAGATTTAAGAGTACAAGATGGCATCAGGCACCGCCAAAACCTTGGGTCTTTTGTGTGGGACTGAATGGCACCAAACGCTCCCCACAAATGTGTCTGAAACTTCACCACCTGATATCTGGCACAGCTGAAGAATCTCTAATTTTCCAACTTGGTACTCTACACTCAATATTTGAGGGAACTATTACATATTTTATATATTTCACAATTTGAGGGCAGGGGGAAGAACTTTAATTTTGAAACAGGGAACATAGAGTAGGCACGATTTTGGAAAACAAGACAAAGGATGCTAGAAATAGCTCATAATAGGAAAAAAAGTCTTGGCTTCTTCGTACAATAATAAACACTATCTATAGAAATCAAACTTTATGCTGCCAATCCCACACCCCCGAAATAAACCCCACAAATCCCACCCAGCCTCGTCTGGGAGGAGGGAGTAAAGTGAAGTGGCTGGGACATGGCCAAGACAAAGAGCCCATCCCCTGCCCTGAGCCAGCTCCCAGCCCCAGAGCAGACACGCATCCCACGAGTGAGCTCAGCTTTCCTGCAGTCAGGTTCCCCAGATGGAAACACTTTACCTCATGCAGCAGCACTCACATCACACCACGGCCCAAGCACAGAAAGCGACTGGAAAAGGGGTTCCATGGCAGAAATTCTGCATGAGGCACCCACAAACAGGGCCACGATGGAAGGAGGAGGCACAGAGACACATCTGGTTCCACTGGGGCACTCCAGACAATGCAGCAGCCTCACCCCACAGAACACCCAAGCACGAGGGGGAGGTAACAGAGCCCCCACTTCCCTCTGAGGTGACAAAACGAGTCACTTCCAAGCGGCCTCTCACAAACCTTGGCGCTGATTTGATTACTCCAAATATCTTCAGTGAAATCACATTTGAGACATCAGCTTCCAGACAACAGGGAAAAGCCAAATAAAACACCACCGCCAGCAATAACCTTTTCTAACAGAGTGAATGACATCTAACCACAGCTCAGAGCCTGCCAAAACACAGGGCAAGATCTCTGGTGGACAAAGCCCAGCAAAACAAGGATCCAGCACTCTAAAGACAGCCATCTCCTGCATGATTTAGAGAAACACTGAAAGCCAACCCTCTGGGTGACATTAACCCTATGACTCATCCAGCCAGCCTGCAAACATGCCTGCTTTTGTGGTAGTAAATTATTTAGTGCCAGCTATCTGCTCTGGGCACTCTGCATATAAGCAACATGTATGGAATTAACCTCTGAGTAAGGGAAAAAAATGACAATCAAAACAAACAAACAAAAAAAATCAGGGTGCATTTTGTAACCGCCCTTACTAATCATTTGAAATTATTTCTGGGCACTTCACTCAGAGCTGTAGCTCACCATGGGGAAAAATTCCTTTTTGCAGTGCTCAGCTGTAGTGAATGTTGTGATTTTACACTAAAAGCTCATCAGAATGCACCCACCTTTCCCCAGCACCAGAACACACATTAATAAGATCCTCTTAACAACTCAGCTAAAGAGACTGGTTCTGTTTTGTCAATCAGAACAGCAAGATTTCCTTCTGACTGCTTCAAAACTGAAAATTATTCCAGTGTGACCACAAACATCTAGCCTGTGGATGAATCAGATCTCCTGTCCAGCAGAAGCCTCCAGCAAGAACTGGGGTTCTGCTATTCTTAAATAAAAAAGAAACCCAACGATAAAACTGTCAATCCTGATCCTGGCCCCAAAATGTTTCCAGTCTCAAGTCTTCAGCCCAGAAATTGGTCCCCACAAGCAGGATTCATGAGCTGGCTGCTGCTCCCAGACATGACTGCATTACTTCTCAGTAACCCTGAGAAGCCCACTGATGTCAGCACAACAAAGCTCAGTGAACCTCCCAGCAGTGAGGAGGAGTGAGCAGAACTGAAATCTTCTGTGTCACACTCGTCAGTGCCTCATTCCTCTGCACTCCAGCACAGATGGCATTAGTAACCCTCTCCTTAAGGCACGGGAACAGGCTTTGTGGCCACAGAAACAATAATTTGCAGAGGCAGAAATGCCTTTGCTGCACATAAAGAAAAGAGCTTGAGGCTTACATTACAACTCTGGGCAATCAGCAATTCAATTAAAGGCTGCAGTTGGATCTGCTTTTACTTACTAAATCATTAATGGGCTAGAAGTTTCAGAAAGTGAGAAATATCACTACCTCTGATTCAGATGCTCAGATCAAGAGCTTCCAAGGTGATTTAACACTTTCCATGGTCAGTTTGCAACACCTGAACAGTAACCTTAAAGAATCTGCACTTTAATTTTACCTTGCCTATGGCTTTGCCATAACCAAAGTTTACATTCCTCAGTTCATTCCCTATCCCTAGCTGGTAACTTGCTCCACTGGGGATTTGCAGGAAAGACCTTGTTAGAAAGAAAATGCAACAGAGGCGATGGTTTAACCTCAACTACAAAACAAGGAAGTTGCAGAAGAGCGAAACAGGGACACCAAGATAAGTGATTCCTCTTTAGGTCCAGCCAGATGCTGGGTATGTTTCTCAACAGTCTTTCTAGAGAAGAAATTACATATAAACAGCCTTTCTTACGGGCAGCCACCTCTCAGCTTCCTGTTCCTGCTGCAGAAGTTGTTGGCCATTGCTCCGTAAGCTGCTTTATTAATATGAAGTTTTCAGAAAGGAAAACTTCAGGATTGGTTCAGGATCGTGTCCTGTGCTCTGCAGCCCCAGGCTGGCTTCACTTACAGCTTTCTTGGACTTCTTCTTGGTGGAACGAGCCTTCTTGGCCTTCTCGACGACGGCGTAGAGGGCGAGGCAGAGCCGCGCCATGCGGGGCAGGTCGCAGACGCTGATGTCGAAGTCCAGGCGCTGCCTCCACACCGGCTCCGAGCACACGCTCACCTCCGAGCTCGACACAGTCTTGCACAGCATCTCAGTGCCGTGGAACAGCCCTGCCTGCACCACCAGCTGAGGGGAGCAGGAAGGACAGGACACCGTGAGCCCACGGGGAGTGGGTTTGAGTGCCGAAGGGAATGGGACAGGGCAGCCGCTCTCCTGAGAGGGGTATCCTGCTCCTGAGCGGGGTGTTCCACTCCTGAGCAGGGTGTCCCACTCCTGAGAGGGGTGTCCTACTCCTGAGCGGGGTATCCTGCTCCTGAGAGGGGTATCCTGCTCCTGAGCGGGGTGTCCCACTCCTGAGCAGGGTGCCCCACTCCTGTCTCCTTCCCAATTCACTGAGACGCTCAGTTCTGAAGTCTCCCTCTTTACTCAGCTTCAGTGAGGGCATTGTTATCTCCTCACTTCATGCAGACTTGCATATTGATTAATGTGACACATTCTTGCCCAGTTTCCTTCCTTTCCCAAAGGGCAGCTGCTCCCCTTCTCCTCATTTTCCTGCTCCCCCTTCATGGCAAACACCCCACATATCCCAGGCCTCTGCTGCCTCCTGCCTTCCCTTTTTCAGTCACCACCTCTCCCATCCCTCTCTTCTGAGCTGGTTTTCCCTGCCCTGCGCAGTGCCATTACCTCAGGGCAGCAGCTCTGCTTGCTCTGCAGCAGCTTTTCTAATGCTGGGCTGCTGTCTGCCCCCTTCCCTCCCCATTCCTGTTGTGCTGCAGTGCAGAGACTGCCCAAGGGCTGGATGAAGCCCCAGAGCAGCAGAGATCACACTGCCAGCCGCTGTCCTCCCCACACAAACCAGAGGGGTGAGACTGGGAAAGCACAGACACAAACCCCAGAGCGGGTCAGTACCAACCTTCATCCTCTCATCTGCATTGACCTTGCTGCCTTGCACCAGCTCGATGTAGAAAGGCTGCTCTAAGGACCAGAGAGAGCCGTAGTTTGGCTGGAAGGAGAAAAGGGTTGATCAGAAACACACAACAAAGGTCTCTCAGGAGGCACCAGAACTCATCCCCCATTCTGTGCTTCCATTCCGTGCTTTTGGGCCCCACAGAAAAGAGCCAGAAGCCTGGGACAAGCAGGGAGGCTGTGGAGGGGGCTGGAAGGCTGGCTGGAAATTCCCACCCCACACCCCAGCCGGGAGCCTGTCCTGAGAAGGGCAGGGAGCACCCGGTGCTGCTCCCAGCCAAGACCAGCACGCCCACCCACGGGAGAGCCCAGGGGTCCCTGTCCCCTCTTACCTTCTTCTTGGGGAGCGGGGGGGGCTTGGGGGCCGCCTTTGGGGGGCTGGTGATGCCGTTGGTCTGCTCGTCCCTCATGGCAATGATGGCAGAGGAGTGCACCATGGTCAGGTGCGGGGTCCGGCCCCGCTGCAGGCAGCTGCGGATGTGCTGAGAGGGGACAGGGTCAGCCAGGCCACCCGCCAGAGCCCAGCCCGGCAGGAGCCCTGCAGGACACAGCAACAATCCAATTCCAGCTCCCAGTTATCTCCTCTTGCTGTATAAACCTGCAGCGCGCTGGCCTCATGTTGCCAGAACTGAGAATATGAAGTGCCTTTTATAGCTGGCATTTCATCAATGAACTCAAATGGCTGCATTAAGGGAAACACTGAGGAGGATTCAGCACTCCCAGCAGCAGTCTGCCCTGCCAGAGGAGCACATGATTCAGGATCACTTCCCCAACTTTCAATGGGAGAACCTTCATCCCACCACACAAGCCAGCAGATATTTCCAGAACCACAGTCTGTAAATGTATTTACACAGCACCTGGCACCCAGGGACAGGCTTAGACCCTTGGCCCCCAAAATAAGGATTGGTTAGGCTGCTGAAAGTACCCTTTTTCCTGAGGAGCATCCAGGTGCTGTCTCTGATGTGCTGCACTCCTGTAAACAGCACTGTAAACACGTCCCAACCCACGCCCCCAGCAAGAGAAGGCCATGTGGGAACAGTCACTGATAAAGCAAGACACGAGGCTCACCTGGAACTGGTACAGGGGGTAGTTCCCATAGAGATATTCACATTTCCCATTCACCTGCAGGGTGTAGTCCTCTGGCTTCTGCACGGTCTCGTGGCGGAACACAGTGGCCTGTTTCTTAATGGCATAGCTCATTAAGGTGATGGGGAACTCCCAGGGGGAGATCTGGAAGGTGAAGCTCTCCTGCAATCCCAACAACACAGCGAACTGTCAGACACCAGCACAGGGCTGGAGTGGCACGGGCAGGGAGCAGCATTCCTGCTGCTGGCAGTGAGGAGCAGCTTGGGAAGGTACAACCACACAGACACCAGCCTGTGATAAGTAGGGATGTTTGCCAAACTGGGCAGGAGCAAGTTTCAGCAGTGTAAGCACAAGGCTGGAAATCAGGAACTTGGATTTTCAGCAGAATCATCAGTTCATGTGGTTTCCAGTCATTAAAAACCTTCCCACAGCCATTCCAGCAGCAGGGCAGAGGCTGGAAGGGTCCCCATGATCAAACACACTGCTCTGAAGGCTGTTCTCCTGCCAGGGTGACCTTGCTTCGTGCCCGGGCACAAGAGGCAGAGCGTGAGCCAAGGCAGGAGCAGGGGCCCACGGGCAGCACAGAGCAGTGCCTGCAAGCAGCCTTTGCTGAGCACAGCTCTGCAGGCTCCCAAGCTCCCAAAGCAAAGGCAGCTACTGCATTCTGTGCTCCTTTCCTACCCAAACCCAAAAAGGTTTCCAGCCCATGTACACACAGCAACCCCAGCTTCCAGCTAACCAGTACACCCAGAGCACGTTCAGGAGGGAGAACAGCTCCCTCCCAACCATCTCCACAGGCAAAGCAATCTGGAGAATGAGCACTGAACACATGGAAACACTGTCCAGGCACACATTACTCTGTCTCCACACACGCAGAGGTTTCCAAGGGAAAAGCACAAACCATCAAACACCGTGACAGAAAAGTTTGTGCTTTACCCCGCCAGACTGGAACTTGATGTTGACAAAAATATTCTTGGTGGGGATTTGCAGAGAGCCAACACCGAGGCCCTTGGCCACGGGCTCCAGCTGCAGGGGGAAGTTGTACTCCATCCACGCTGCCCAGCTGAGCTGCTGCCGCTTCGCTGCTTTCTCCTCGCAGAACTGGCACATCTTGGTGCGGAAATCGCTCACCTCCGGGTCCTGCACAGAGTCAAACTCGTGCAAACCTGGGTGCAAAGCAAGAGAGGAAGGCAAAATAAGCATCTGCAGCCAGTGGGGGAAATGAGCCTTTCCCTCAAATGCCTGTGAAAGTCTCCCTGAGCACGTGTTTAGCACATGGCCAAAAGCAGAGTCAGCTGTGGGAATCCAGAGCTTCCCTCTGGCTGCCCTGGCAGGTCTGGGACCCTGGCAGTGGTCAGGAACCCCCCTGGACAGTCCCCAGAGACACTGGCTGTGATCTCTGTCCATGGAAAAGAGTTTTCAATCTTACAGGATGAATTGCAAGCTCTGAGTGTTTGATATCAGTAATAATTAATTGTGGCATGGGTGCAAAAGTCAAATTTTAGGATTCTAGATAAGGGGTTCAAAGGGGACAAGATGGAGGAAATTGGGTGTGCCTTGTCCTTTTTCTCCTTCTTCATGCCCTCCAGGTTTCACTGTGGTGTTGGCATTTTTCTGTTGGTTCAGGCTGGGGACACACTGTCCAACGTAGGTGACAGATATTGGCACGTTATTGTAAATCCAGCACAGGTAGTTTGTGGTATTTAATGTTTGTACCATCCCACTGAGGGCAGAGCCCCACACGCTGCCCTGCAGGACAGAGCTGCGGCAGGGCAGCAGAACATGTTAGAGATAAACAGAATAAACAACCTTGAAACCAGCACAGACCAATTATGGCTTCTGCTTTGGCAGCAGGGCTGAATGACAGAGACTTTTTACAATCTTGGAATCATCAATACCTCAGATTCCAACAGTCAGCCGAGCTGCCAGCAGCCCCTGATGGGTGATGTGCGGTGCACTGTCCCCGCAGCAGTGCTCCTGCAATGGATCCTGCCGATGTCCCGGCGCCCCGGGCCCCCAGCCCTGCCCTGCCTGCAGCCCAGGACACGCTGTGTGCCCCCCAGAGCCCCACGCTGTGTGCCCCCCAGAGCCCCACGCCGTGTGCCCCCCAGACCCCCCAGCCCTGCCCTGCCAGCAGCCCAGGACACGCCGTGTGCCCCCCAGAGCCCCCGGCCACCGGCTGAGCTGACCTTTGCCGATGAGCAGGCTGATCTGGGAGTTGATGACCTTCTTGGCCCGGTCGCCCTCGCGAGCCACGAGGCGCAGCACGGGCAGGAAGGGCTGGATGTCGCAGAGGCGGCGCTGCTCGTCCTCCAGCTCCTGCTGCTCGGCCGTCTGGTTGATGCAGGTGAACACGTAGGCCTCGGGGTCGCTGAGCATGTGGAACAGCGGCTCATACTGCGCGTGCTTCCAGAGCACCTGCGGGAGGGTCGCCTGCTGTCACCCTGTTGTCACCTGCTGCTGTCACCCTGCACACCTAACCATGTTGCTGTCACCTGCTGTCACCCGCTGCAGTCACCCACTGCAGTCACCCTTGCTGGTGTCACCCTGCACACCTAACCATGCTGCTGACACCCGCTGCAGTCACCCTGCTGCTGTCACCCACTGCTGTCACCTGCTGCTGTCACCTGCTGCTGTCACCCGCTGCTGTCACCCGCTGCAGTCACCCTGCACACCTAACCATGCTGCTGTCATCCACTGCAGTCACCCACTGCAGTCACCCTGTTGTCACCCTGCCGCTGTCCCCCTGCCGCTGTCCCCCACGCGGGTCCCTCAGCACCCAGCGAAGGCAGAGCACAGCCCAGGCTCCTCCAGCCCCCCGTCCCTGCGCTCCGGGCTGCTCCTCAGCCAGCCCTGGTGGCCCCAGCCCATGCTGACTGCTGAGCAGGTTTATTTGTAGGTGCCTTTAACTGGCTTCCCTTCTTCATACTTGCCTCTTGTTTTGGGCAATGCTAATCCCTCAGCCTGGGCATATAAACAACCCCCCACCTGAACATCTCACAGTAAGCACCTGCGGACTCTGGTCCTGTGAAACTCAGCAATTACTCACGCTGGAAACAAAACCGGGTTAAGTAACTTGCCCCCAGTAACATGAAATCTGTCAGGATGCCAAGGACAGGAGCCAAGAGCTTCTCAAGTCTTGTCAACACCATCCAGTTCCCAAAGATGCTTATCCCTGTGGATAGCACTCTCACATGACTTCATATCCCCCTTTTTACTCTCGTCCTAAGTGCCTGCTGTAGTAGATGGGCCCCTGTAACACAGACCTGTCACCCTACAGCTGCTACAAGGCTGTTACCTGCTTGATGGTGCCCAGGCTGGCATTGCAGGGCACTGAGAGGTTTAAGTATATGCCTGTGGGCAGCAAAAAGTCCACCTGGATGTTTTGGTTTTCCCCCTTGGACCAGAATTCCGTAGGGCAGTAAATGCCTGGGGGCATCCTGCTCACTGCTTAGCTACCACCTGCAAGAAAAGGGAAAACAATCTGTTGCTGTTGACTACGTATCATTTGCTCAGTTCTGTGCTGGGCTCTGTACAAAATTAATGTGCAAAAGGACCCAAAGAAAGGAAGGTTAGCACATCCTTAAAGCTCAGGAAAAATAGTAAATTAGTAAAATTCCACTTCAGTGCCTTTGAGCCACATGTAACCATAGCATTTGCTTCTACTTCAGTGCAACCCTCTCTTAATACCTTGTAGGCCATGATTAACATCTACACCTGCATTTAACAAAGAAATAAGAGAATGATCTTCTCTGGAGAACAAAGACATTGTCCCAATAGCTCATCTATGACCAAGCAGCCAAGAGAAACAGTAAATTCCTACCCCTGGCTGTGTAAGGCAATCCCCAGGCCACATGCTCCAAGCTCCACTTTGTTTTTCCAGAGCTCAGTTCCAGTCTGCAAGAGCAAAAAAGAATTGTTGCTGGTTCCAAGTATGCATGCATTTTTATACATACAAACTTAAAATACTCTGCTGTACATCCTCCCTCTACAAGTATAGAGATATGAAGGTGAAGGGTGAGGCAATCAGAATAAGTTTGTTAATTCCACCTGCAGCCTGTCCCTTGGCAGGATGCTACAATTTATTTTCAGCACATCCAAGGAATGCAAAGAGAACAAGAATCTGAATGCTGTCAGGTACAAACTGCTGTTTTCAAACACAGGAGGAAACAAAAGGCATTCACCAGCAGCCTGTCAGACATTTCCTTTCTCAAAGACCTGTAACAAAGTCTCCATCCATTTGCCCACAAGCAAAACGCCACAGCAGTAAAACCTCTGGTTTCCTGCGCAGATGACGAGTGGCAGAGCGTGGTGTCCCCATGTGCTGGAGGCTCTGAACTGCTGGCACTGGCTCCCAGCAAGAGACAGGGAAGTGGTTCTGGCTAATCCTCTGCAACCACCCCAGCAGAGAAACCAGCTCACCTCAATTCCCTCTCAGTTCTCCTGCCAGGTCAGCAGAGGAACATCCCACAGCCTGGAAGGTGCTCCAAACTCAGCCCTGAGCAAGTCTGAGTCCCTTCCCCTCAGCGCAGGAAACCAGCACAACATTTCCCCATTCACAACTCGAGATACAGCTTGGAGCCGTGGGTGTAGAGACTTTGAAAGAAGCTGAGCAAAGCGCTGCTGATTCCCAAACCACAAAGTCCTGCTGGCAGCTCCTCAGGAGCCAGCCCTGGGCTCCAGCACAGGGAGCCCAGCATCTTATCTGCCAGCTCCTGGGAGCACACCACTTCCCTGTCAGCAGTGAGGTCAGGATTCCCAGAAACATGAGCTGTGTTTTATCTGTCCTGCTTCCTCAGCACAGAGGCTGCATCACCACAAACCACCCCAGCAAAGGGGGAGGAGGCAAGGCTTAAGAGTTTGAATAAAGCAAAACAAGCTGGCCTTGTTCTCTGCCCACCAACAATAAAAACAGCAGGTTTCTGGTGTATCTGCTGCCCCAGCCTGAGTCAGCAAACTGCCACAACTCTACTGACCAGCAGAGACAGGGACACAGCCATGGCTGGGCTGCTTCCTTCTGCTGAGGATTCCTGTCTGCCACCACATCCCAGAGAATACCAAGTGCCTGTCTAAGCCATGAGCACTACAGTGTCAGCTCAAGCTCAACACCTTGTCTTTCCAAACTCCCTGATTTAGAGGACGCAGGATTTTTTCAACAGCACCTGGCATGAATATACCAAAGGAAGAATAACTCTGGACTTTCATGGTTTCTAAGACATCATTTAGCAAGTCTCTCCCCTTCCCATTGCTAAATTCAGAGTGTTCTACTTGTTGGAGCTCAGGTCTGATGTGACAGTTCTTTCATGAGGCCAGCTCTGCATAGATGGGTGTTCCTGCACTTCCCTCTTCCCCTTTGTCTTGGGAAACTGAACAGAGTTCTCCAACCTTGTTTGCACTATCTTGACCTCATGTGTACAAGTAATTACAATTCCCTTTTCTCTGGGTCATTCTGCCATTTGTGAACAGCCAAGTGCAGCATCACTCCTTTTTGGCAGGGTTTACACTACTGGAGTAATTTGAGATACACTCTCACTGCAGCAGTCTTCCAAAAAAAAAAAAAAAAAAAAAAAAAAATCTCCAATAGAATTGTCAATTTTTAAAGCCCAGACCTCTTCATCACTGGGCAGGAAAAGTAGTGGAGGAAAACAACCATGAGGCAAAATTTCACTTTTTAGATGAAGGCAACTCCACAGCTTCCCCTGTGGCCTTTGCCTCAGTTCCTTATTCTTTACTCTGCAGGAAAGCTACAGGCTGCTCTCCCCTCCTGAAGGTTTCCCCTTGCAGCAGTCAGTGTGCAGGTAATAAATGTGTATCTTTAGCAAAGAGGGGAGCTGGCCAAGGCAGAGCTGATGTCCACATGGGATGAGTCCATGCACTAGGACAGAAATGAAACCTCAGTTTTACTGGATGCTCTGTAGAGAATAGAGGCACAACATCAGCACTAGAGGGAACACAGCTGAGGAATGTGAGGAAAGGTGAATTTGTGCAGAGTGTCAGGGTCCAAGAGACACATCTGAAACCACCCAGGCAGTATTTAACAAGCCAGCAGCCGACATAAAACCTACTAACACAAATTTCCTCTTGTGAAGTTTATCAACCACAGCTCTGGTGTTTACAACACACAACTGCTTTGGAGAGGAAAAGGCAAAAAAGAAAAAAAAAGCAAGCAGCAAGATCAGACATGGAGCAGCGTTGCCCAAACCTCGGTGAGGCTGCAGCATCAGACAGACATGGAAGCTTCAACACCCACAAACAAACTGCTAAATTACAAACCCCCAGGACTACCAAAATACCTCTCGAGCTTATAGGAAATGAGCAGTGCAGAGCTCACAGGTGATGTGCTGCGTGGGAGACTGCAGGAAGTCACTTTCATTGCAGCCATGGCTTAGGCTAGGGGAGGAGACCACGGAATTTTGAGGCACACATGTGTTTGACATGGCTTTAGCACACAATCAATACACTTAGCAGAGCTGTGCTCTGAGAGTGTTTTGAGCTTGGTCTTGATTTTTTGGTTGGGGTCACAGGGTAAAACAAACCCACACTGCAGACAAGTGATTTGAGAGCTGACTGACAGTAAAAGTACCCCCCAAATTGCCCTTCAGGACACACTGGGAAGAATCCTGCAGCAGGTAAGTGTGTCAGACTGTGCCAGCACATGGGAGCGTGGAGAGAGGGGCTCTCCCCTGGCAGGGTTTGCTGGGGACTCACACCCAGGGCCAGTCACTTCATCACACAGCAGAACCACGCTGGAGCTGCTTCCCCTTGGTGCAGCAGGTCAGACTCTGCTCTGGTGCCCACAGATGTTCCATCACAGCTTCCAGCAGCCTCCTGTAAAACAGGACCGAGTCTCAGCTGTGCCATCGGGCATCTCTGCTCTCCTTCAGTTCCTGGGACAGGAGCCTTCAGTACAGACCCGGCTGCACCACAGCTCTGCCTCTGGTTCCTCCTTCAACACACCCCCAAGGGCCAAACTCAGGTCGTGAACTAGGCAGGAAAACACTGAGGACCCCTTAGAAAAGTGTGGAAAACAATCCAAGCACTGAACAACCCCTAAAATCAAGAGCCTGGCTTTTTATCTTCCTCAAACCCTAGTTTAGAATATTTGAATTTCCTTAAATCGGTTTACCACCGTATGACTTCTACCCCTACCAAATATAAAAATAATTTTTTTCATATTATCAGCTTCAATTTTGTACATTGATCTCTCCCATTCTGCCACACAGTTGCCTGCACTGATTCACTCATTCTTTCAACAGCAGCTCATTGTTCATCCAACTCTACATACCAGACACACAGTTATGTTGCTTTGACAATGCCTTTTCTTAGATATTGCTAAGCCCCTGATTAATCTGAATTTTACTTACACAAACCTTTAGATGGATTTAGCTGTACCATGAACTGTCCCTGGCAAGGGATGAAAATGCCCACACCTAACTCTTCAGGCCTCTGAGACACTACAGAGCATCCCCTTCCCTACCAGAGGTGCTGACAAAAAGCAGCAATTAATTAACAAAAATCAGCAACTTCTGTGCATCAAGATGTCCCTGGAGAACCATGGATTTTCCCACCTTCCATGGATGTGTTCTGGTTATGTGGAAACTACAAGGATCAAGCTTTAAACAACCACTGTGGCTAAAGAATCCCTTGGCTTGGGCCCTTCCCTTAATGAAATAAAGACTCCTTTGAGATTTAAATTGTTCAGTGCCCACCCTACACACACACACTCCCAAAAAACAGACTCACAGTGAAAAGTAATGGAAGCAGAACTACACTAATGTGATCTGAACTGGGGATAACCTTGTTTGTGTGCAGGGCTGATGATGAAAGGGGTTGTCAGCAAGAGAAGAGATAGGACAGCAGAATGTACGTGTGGTGATAAAAACAGGCTGCAGTTTTTGGGCCTCCCAGCTCCAGAAAAGCATCAGAGCAATATACCATCATTCAGGCTCAGCAGAACCTTAAATCCATCCAGAAGCCATAGCCAGAGGGAGGGAAAGAGGAGTTCAGGCAAAGCAACTTAAGAGAAAAAGAAATTTAAAGCCATTCCTCATTCTGGAAGTAAAACAGTGGCGCCACAGAGTGAGAAAAGCATCTGATGGGAGACTTGAGAACCTTGGTGGAAACTTCCAATCAGCTTTAAGGCAAGTTCACAGCATTGCCTGAGGAACTACCTAGTGGGAAACCATCTATTCAGTGGTTAAAGCAAAAGCTTAAAAACCAACAGTGTGCAAAGCTCTGCTCCCAAACCTGAAGATTGTTTGCTGCACAACATCAGACAACAAACTCCTCCATGTTTCAGCTTTCCCACATGCACAAGTACAGCCTGTAACTCATGAGGGGTGTTGTAACTCTTAAATGCTGGCAAAGTGATATGAGATCCTTGCACCCTTGCTATTACTGCTAACACAGGCAGAGCCTGGGAGTTGGAGGAAGTTGTGATAAACGAAAGCTTCCAGCTGAAGTTGCTGAAATTAGGCTTTTTCAACTGTTCCCAACGGCTCCACAACACCAGAAACCCGAGTCCATCTTGTTGATGGAAACAAAAAACAAGGCATGAGTTTCTAATGACTTCTATCATGACATTCAACTTTCAGGTTCCCATCAGGCACACACAGCGTGCCGTGTTCGAGACGCTCTTCTGGGAGCCCTTAAAAGACTCTCAAGCCCTGCCAAAAACACGATCCAAAGCTAACCCACAGCAGAAACACACATGAACAGCTGAGCCAGCCACCACAAGCCCTGCACCAGAGAAGGTCTGGATGTTGCCACTCCCCAAGCCCGGGAGTGACAATTGTGGCGACAACGCGCCATGTGCCAAAACCACCTAAAGGCCAGGCAGACAGCAGCAGCATCCCGCGGGGTGGGCCAGCAGGTGATGAGGGTTTCCTGGGCAAAACAGCCAGCCCGCTGCCTGCCATCCATCCATCCATCCATCCATCCATCCATCCATCCATCCATCCATCCATCCATCCATCCATCCATCCATCCCTCCCAGCCACCAGCACGGGGGACACAGCTCCAAGGGCGGCCCCCGGGCAGCCCCGGCCGCGCATCCCGGAGCTCGGCGGCTCCGCCAAGCCCCGCTCCGCTCCGGCAGAAGCGCTTTTCCCGAGCGCAGCGCCGCTCGCCGCCCGAGCGCAGCCGGCGTTTGCCGCAGGCGGCCCCGCAGCGCCGGCCGCGCACCGCGGAGCCCCGGCCCGCCCGGCCCCGCTCCCATCCCGTTCCAATCCCGTTCCCATCCCGTTCCCGGCTCGTGCTCACCTGCGCTGGCGGCCGGGGGGTCCCGGGGGCTGCGGGGCTCCCGCGCTCCCGGCCCCGCTCCGGCGCCGCCCCGGCCCCGCCTGCAAAGGGGCGGCGGAGGGGCCGCGCCTGCCCCGCCCCGAGCCCGGTCCCGGTCCCGTTGGTCCCCCTTGGTCCCGTTGGTCCCGCTGGGTCCGGCCCGCAGCCCCGGGAAGGGCCGAGCGCTCCGGGCCGCCGCGGCCGCCGCCCTCTGCCGCACCGGCGGCGAGCCCCGGGCACACGCGGCTCCCCGGGACCGCAGGGCCACGCAGCGCTCACACCGGGGGCAGGTCCTGCGTGCCCGGCTGCCCGTGGAACTGCAGGAGCTGGGAAATGGCCTGGGGGTCACTGCTTTCCTGGAAAGAGCTCCCCTGACAACCTCCATCACACAACTGCTCTTTCTTCATCCGGAAAATTGTGGGAAGCCTAGGAACTGGCTGACAGCGAGTCTGGGAGGAAAAGAGGGAGAAGGGCATTTAAAGGGAAAAGAAATGTAGGAGAAAAGGAGAGAGCCCCAAAGAGAAGGGGAGAGACCCTGGTGGTACTTGCAGAGTGCTCGCAGTGGGTAACAGTGCAGTAAGGGAGGGGAGTACCCCAAATCCCAAAGCAGAGTCAAGTGGATTTGGAGGATGGGAAGAAGCACCTCCAAAGCAGGCAAGGCGCCCATGGGTCCAAGGCAGGAGCAGGGTAGATTTTAACACACCTGCTGTTCCAGGGAACGGGACCAAGCCCTCCTTTAGGTGCTGGACACCAAGGACACACAGGGTTATCCACCTGGCTTTTTCTCTCCCCAAGCTGTTGCACAGCTCCGTGGACTGCTGGAGAAGCCCATCCAGGCACTAAAGCACTGCAGGGTCTCATCCCACCCCTTCCCCATGGCCCAGCCACTTCTCACACCCCTGGGGCTGCCATCACCCTTTGCTCACTGCAGCTCTCCCAACTGTCACGGGAAATTAGTGGTTCCAAAGCAGCAGCAGATGGGACAAGAAATGTTTCCAGTGTTCAAAGACAATCATTCCTCTCTGTCTCATTAAATTTTCAGCAGCAATTAGATCCTCAAAGACCATGTGCTCATCTGAAAAGTCTCTCTCTTTTCACACATCTCCTCTGAAATGCCCACCATACTTTGGGTCACAAATGAGAAAATATTTGGAACATGGATTTTGATTTTAATTATTTCACTGCCACAGATGGAAACAAGCAACCCTGGTACAGTGAATGGTTCCTGCTACTGTGTCACCTCGACTGGTCCTGCAGTTTTATGACTCCCAGAATCACCATTTTCCTCAAGCTTTTGCTGAGACATGTGATTAAGGTATAAATTCTTTTTTCCCCCCTCTATGTTATCATCCAAGAAAAGCTCATTATTCTTGCAATCTGACTCATTTTTTTTTCCCTGAACATTACTAGCTGGCAACACAGATATCTTGCCAACAGCACAAGATGTGACTGTTGAAACATTCATTGTTCGACTCCATTTGAATCTACTATCGCCTCTCCATGTGACCTCTGACGCTCAGAAATTATCTATTTTAAATCATCGGTCCTGACATGTGTTGAAGATATTTTTAACAGACTGTTTACAGGAATTCTGGTTTCTGTTCTGGTTTTTTTTTTTTCCCCTTTTCAACAGATTTTCTATTCATCATCTCCAAGTTTCACATGTACAGCTGTCCTGAACACCAACAGGGCATTTGCCCACATGGCCTGTGAGAAATTGGACATCAAAAACTGAAGGGAAGGGAAAAAGGAACTCACTCAGAAAAAATAGCTGCAACCTGCTAAGATTAAGATCTGAGACCTCCAGGAAGACCAGAAGGGAGGGTTACTTAGTTCTTCTTCTGTGTTATCAAGAACCAAACAGAGCTAATGTGTTTGAAGAGAGCACTGCTAAAAAGGGAAAGTGGAATTATTTCAAATGCTCCCGACACAAGGGACACGCAAGGCATGCCAGTTCACAACATCCCTTTGCACTCCATGCCAGTCTGGTTTACATTTACCCAGATTGTTCATAAAACTCTGAAAGGTTAATTTTGTGTTCTTAGCTCTCCAGCTGCCTGTGGGCATGTGCTCTATGCCACTTAATCTGGTGAATCTCCAGAATCACACAGTTCCACACTGCTGCTGAGCCAGGGGGGCCTTGTCCTGCTTGGGGAACGATGCAGACCCCAGCCGAAGAGCCACCACTGTCCCACTATCAGGAAATTCAGCCAAGGGTGGGACGTGGTCAGCTTTTACAGGAGAAACAGCAGGAGGGAGGATGACAACGAGACACGGAACCACAGCACCTTGGTATTTCCAGGATCACCCAGCAAGAATGCTTCCACCCAGAGAGACAAACCCCCTGACTGCCCTCCTGGGTCCCAAGCCACAGAGATGTTGGCAGATGTGGTGAACAGTGACACTCGGAAGGTGCATTCCCTCCTTCCAGACGGGGCCAGAAGAGTCTCCCTCGTCCTTCACCAGCACAGGACAAACAAACAAACCAACCCAAGTGGCTGCATTTCATTGCACCACAAGGCAAACAGGAAGCCCGGGCAGCCTGATGAGAGTTGAGGTTCTTTACTCCATGTGGTTAGCACTACTTAAAGTTAACTCTGCTCAGCAGGGAAACCGCGCCGGGCTGCAGACACGGCTGGGAGCCCGCTTGCCTTTAAAACTCAAAAGATGGGGTTTTTTGTTTGCTTTTTTTTACAAGAAGATCTGCAATAGGATCACAGCCACCCAAAGTGCAGCCCTGATCCATGCTGGCTGTCAGTGGGGAGCAGTGGGGCTCACCTGCCTGAGCACAGCCACACCAAATCCTCTGGCCAAACCAAACTGCTCCAGCATTCGAAGGTCACTGGTTTTGCATGTTACACAAAAGCTCTCAGTGCTGTAGAATAATACTACAATGCTACAGGCTTTAGAGATATATTTAAACACACATACCTACACACACACACACATATATATATATTTGGGGCACCCAGGTTCTCTTACAAGCGAGCAACATGCATGTCAAGGGACATTAGGAGAATTAGGATAAACTGCACTAAGTATTGTAACTGTACCTCACAGAGCACAGGAACAGGGTCAAGGGCATCCCCCGAGCCCCCAGCTCTGCCCCCTGGACTGAGCACTCCATACACCCCTAACTTGGCACATCCTGACACACAGACATCCTTCACCCACCCCCAAATCAGTGCTGTTCCCTCTCTTCTCCACCTACACTCCAGCAGCCCTCTCAGGAGGGCATTGCCCTGAAGACAAACGTGACATAGCTCAGTCTTTGGGACAGCTGAGGACACTGTGGTTATAATATGAGTTGTTTTTCTTTCAGGAACAAGGCCACAGTTTACTTGTTGATATTGCCACAAGAGAGATTTCAGAGACTAAAACCACAACAAAGCTTCAGCACGTTTTTCTCTTTGGTGACCGTGCATTCAGACAAAAATGCCATGAAGCAAAACCTTCCCACAAGCTGTGAGGAGCTGATGGTGAAGTATTAGGGGGTGGAATTCAAGGACCTGAGCAGTCTGAAAATTTGTTTGAAAATCTTCTGAAATGGTGTCAATCTTGTGATCCCAAAATGACAGAGAGAAGGGAGAATGATGCCAAAGATACTCAGCCCTCTTGCTGAAGGCCAAAGTGTCCTAATTTGGTGTCCTTGCCCAGATAAAAATACTGCTTTATCTGTGTGACTATGTATTTAAATGAAGGATACTGCAGACTTGAGAACAATGTGTTCCTCTCTGGTTCCCCCATAAATGTTTGCAGGGCAAAAATGTAACAAGTCACGACCTGAGTCAGCTGCAGTGGCAGCCGAGATTCCCCTCCTGACCATCAGCAGCACCTCAGCCTTCGACAGGAGAATAATCCCGGGAGGCAGTTCTGCTTCAGAGTTATCCAGGTGAGGGTTTGTTTGGTACCTCCTTGCTGTTTCTCCATCAGAATTTCTGAGTTGCAATCTCTGCCCGTGGCAGAGTTTAGTGTTGAGACAAAAGGCGAGTTCTGTGGATTGTGGGTGCTGTAAGCAGCACATCATCCCGAGAACAGAGTGGGGGCACCGACCAAACGTGAGGCAGGAGGAGATGCTGCTGTCCCAGTCCTGCAAGGAACCACAGACAGCTACAGCTCTGCCAGGGACACTGTGGGTTACTGACTGCAAGAACCTAGGAGAAAATTGTCTGGGGAAAACACCCAAATAAAGAAAACTGCCCAGCAAAGTTACGGTCTGCAGTGGCAGCCCAAGGCTCATGTGCTGCTCCTCACACTGGTGCCAGCAGCACAGCTTTTACTGGGTTCTTTTTCCCTGCATGCAGAACACTGGAAATGTTCCTCTGTGTTCCACAGGGCATTTTGGGGAGCTTTGCTGTCTGTTCACCCCAGCTGAGGTCTTCAGCTGGTGGAGCTGCACAAGTTCAGAGCAGCAATGTCACAACACCCCACGTTTTTATCACTTCAGAGCACGGCTGCAGCACAAACACAGTGTTTCCCCCTCTCAGGGAATGCCACTCAAAAGCTCACTTCTGTTGAAGATGGGT